TGGGAACACCACTGGTTACAGGCCTCCAACTTGACCCTGCTCTGTTTGATCACAACCCTCTGAGTTCTGTCACACTTACAGCTCTCAGTTCACCTCACTCACACTTCCACTGCTCTCCCCTCATCTAGCCAGCCAGTTATGACATTATAGAAGGCAATCAGGTTGGTCAAGCATGATTTCCCTTTGGTGAATCCATGTTGACTTCTCCCAATGACTTTCTTTGCTTTCACAAGTTTTGTGAGGTCATCCAGAATGACTTCTGTAGAGCTTCGAGTAATATGAGTGGAACAGATAAATTTACTGTGAAGCCACTAATGATAAGGTGTTAAGCCGGAAAAAGGAAGGAGAAAATCTTGTGCTGTGTTGAAAGTAAATTGGATTTACACAGAAAAGCTTTCCTCTTACATATAGTCAATGCAATACATACTGAAGAAGATAAAGAAGTTTAAGCAGAATAGCAAAAATGCTGGGATGTCCTGTGCCAGAATGTAGCCTACAAGTTAGCATGGAACAAAGACCAATAAAACCTTTCCTTAAATCACTTGGAGAGAATGACAAAACAACGTGTTTCAAGTCTGGTCATTTAGTGCACAATTTGCTGTATAAAAGCTGAGGCAAATTCTCTCCTCTCCAAATTCCTTCTGAGGAACCCAGTGAAGCACCAGAGCACTGCAGGGCCCTCTGCATCTCCAGAAGAAGAGATTGCAGTTTGAAAGCAAGTGGCTCTCACACTGTTAGGTGAAAGGTGTGGATTGGAGGGGTTGCTGTTCACAGGGGTTAAGATAATGTCCCATCAACTTCTTCAGCTGACATTTGAGATTCTGTTAGACCTGTCAAGGTTTGTTGATTTAACATTTGTCCATCTTTTCATTAAAAGAGACATCTTTGGTCGTGAAAAGAGTGTCTAATCAAGTAGTTTATTGGAAGTATGTTGTCAAAAATCACTGCTTTTTGTAATAGCTAAACATCAGCTAATAAAATAGGTATTTTTAAAACAAATATCTTGACAGATGCAAACAATGTTATCTCTGAAGAGTATGTTTGGAGATGGATCAGACAATTAGAATTTCATTGTTATATTTGTTAACCTTAATTTAGTCACAGAGGATGCACTGGATGCTACTCCTTGTGTAAAGAAAAAAGCAAAGAAAACAAAGGTGGCTTTGCACCATATTGCACTCAGGAAGCTTTACCAAAGCCATCCAGGCCATTGAGCTCTGTCTTTTTGCCTGTATGTAGGCATGTTGATGCTGTCTCATTGTTTTCCACTGGCACTGGTTCTCTTGGCCAGAGATTCATTCTCCCTTGAACAGTTTTTCATCCTCTGGCTGAAAGCTCAACTTTTGCTTATGACTGGCATGTCTCATACAGCAATAATAGATTTGACAACGCATCCTTCTCTCCACATAACACTGATGCATCTCTATATCCCCATAGCACCTCTATATCCCCATAGCATGATTGTAACAAGAGTATCTCATCTGTGCATAAGAGAGAATGTATGAACTGGGCGACTAATTGTCCTTGTAGGTGAGGCCCTGTGGAAGGAAAATTAAGACTTAATTAAATTTAAGGTATATCAGGAGATTCTGGTGAAGCCGTCAGTATTTAAATAATAGCATGTATTTGGGATTACAGAACTTGTCTTGATGTGGACATACTGTTGAGACCAGACATCTACCTTTTCCAGCAGATTGAGGAGCATTACAGAAACAGTGGTGACAACCTCTATTTATTTTACCTTCTGCTCTGGGATAAGGGAAGTCATGTGTATGTTTGACATGTTGGTAATGAATTTCTTTGGTACCAGACAAACACTGCAGAATGTCTTATGAAAACATCCTAGTTAAGGAGTGGATTTGAGTAGACATACAATCTCTAAAATATCAGAAGTTCCACTCAATTTAGCGTACTTCCAGCAGGTCCCAAGGGAGTGTTTCAAAACCACTAAGCTTCTGTTTAGCAAAGTGGGGATGAGCGTAGGGGCTCTGAGGGACTGTAAAAGAAATATTACTCAACTTTGGGGGAATTGTCTGACTTCTGAATATTTTAAAGCAAGCTTCTTTCTGAGTAGCTTTTCTAAATGTTTGTAAAGCAGATGTTTATATTGCACAGAGCTTTCCTTGGGTCTGTTCAAATAGTCAAACACCTTTTCAAGATCTGTCAGTAAATGCCCTGTGACTGATCCATATGATGCAGGTGTTGAGACTATGTGAAAAATGATTGTCTGGTTAAAGATGTCAGTGTGGTTTTATTTGAACATTAATTTCTCTCTACACTCAGGATCCCCTGAAAAAGGAAAGTAAAAAGAATATTTCTTTTTAAAGAGATGCATTATGTAAAAATTCATGTGCACTAAAAGCAATCAAATTAACTGTGTTGTATTTGATTATTTAAAAAGAAAATAAAACTTATTTTAAAAATACAGTCCTCGGAATCATCCAATAGACAAGTTGGAGCCAACAGGAAACTCCTTGCTACATACAGTCCTGCCTTAGGAGTCAAATGTTCATGGCCCTTTTCCCACGGCTTTGTGGATCTCACAGTATTTTTGGAGAGATTCAGTGTTGGCAGATGTGTATATCTGCACAAAATGTCCCTCAAGTCTATGAGATGTTGGTGATGGGCACGTCGAAATGAATCAGACTATAAAACTGTGGTTTAAAATAGGAGGATGCTACAAGCTAGTCCTTGACTGCCTGATCCCTGCCTGCTGCATGTTAAACAGCTTCTCTGAAGCCAGGAGTCTTGGCTCAGTGGAATTGTAAGATTTTGCTATTTTTTTCCCTTTGCATCATAAAAATTCTTATATGCCAACAATTCTCTGCTTAGGAGGGATTCTCTTTTTTTTATATTATGTTCAATATACATGTCCAGGTACAGATTTACTAGGAGAAAAGAAAGGGATCTTTAGCCTCCCTCCTTTCCCCATTAGTAACGGCCTTTCAGCAAGGACAAGCAAACTATCAGAGGATGGTTTCCTCCCATTAACTTGCAGGTTAAGGCTGGGAACATGTTAGCTGACCCCTCCACTGGGGGCCACGCAGCTCTCCCACCTCCCCATCCATCAGGTCACAGCTCTGTACACTGTGATGTTTTTCCTTCATTATAGAGGATAAGCTATCACACAGTAGGTGTTTTTGTATCTAGGCCACCACTATTTTTTACCTCTTTTAGAAACCTTTGTTCTAACATGATATATTCCTATGTCCTTAGAGATAGCCTTTCTGGAAGCATCACTTCTCAAATTGCTTTTCAGTAACAGGTTTGATTTACAAATCCCGTGTAAAGACACATGCGCACACACCAAACACTGCTCACAACAAAGCTGAGTGACAGGGGCTCTTTTGTAACCCAAAAACCTGTTCAAGCTGCAAGAAGGAGAAGTCTCCTGCCTTGCTGGTCAGTGGGAAGCACTGTGGAGTGACAGCTTTAGCAGAGCTCCCATTTGGTGGAGGCCAAGCTGCAAGATTTTTGGCACCTTCTGTCGAACCTGCTGAGAAGGCACATGAGCCTTTCTTCTTTAAAGTTCTTTTGGGAAGAACTATTCCATATAATGGAGATTGTCTGTGGAAGAGGTTTCCTAAGGGATTCAACTGCTTTTTATAATTTTCAGTGAATGCTTTCCAAGAGCCTTTTTTAGGCAAGTGTTGCTGCAGATTGGCCTGTACTAGTGAGTGCTGCAGCAGGAGCTGCTTTGAGCGATGACTGGGTGAGAAGCACCCACAACTCTGATACTGACTGCTGTCCAGCCCTTGAGCTTGTCCCCTAAACAGTCTGTCCCTTTTTCAATCAGTTTAAGGATGTTAACTTCAACCTACCTTTACAGTTAGAATGGAGTATAATTTAGAAATACCAACTGGGTGCAACGTGAGATTGTTCTGCTGCTTACTGCAGGAGAAGATGACAGGCTCTGAAAGGTAATATGGCTGTATAGGAAGGTTTACAGTACCAGGTGATAGCTTCTTTAATGTTCATGTTAAAAGGAGGGGAAGATATTTGTTCTTCCCCATCCTTCCTCCTTTCTACTCTCTCACCTTCACCTACTTGGATGATTTTCAAGTCCATAGGGTGAGGGAATGGGTTTTGCCTCATTTTTGACAAGCCTTTGGAACTTGAATTCCTAATCTAGTGCTGTACTGGATCTCTAGCCTTGGGAGATCTGCAAAAAACTGAAGACCTGCACCAATATACTCTCATCAGCCATCATTCCTGACACAGCCACTTCGTTTTTCTTTGGTGATGCTTCCTCTAACATTTCACTGAATGCTGGTACAGTCTTTAACAACATATATTTTAATATTCATTAAAACCACCTTCTTAGTTCAAGGCCCTCTCTGTGCCAGTCCATGTACAGTATGAGCTCCTAATGACTCAGTACTTGAGCCATGACACTTCAGCCTGCCAATATTTTTATTCTCCTCAACAGCTGTATCCTTGTTGTGGCTTGTATATTGTGCTTGAACTTCAGTTTTAAAAGCCTTTGGTTTGATGTGAGCTGTTGTTATAGTGAGTAATTTTTATCAATGGACTTCTGTTTCTTTTACATTGACTGATGGAAGGGACATTTGTGCTTACATTTTCTAGGTACAGAAGAAATAGCTTTCTCCTGAAGTTCAGTAGCTGGGGATTTCAGGCATTTCTTTTCTTTTAGCACTGGTACGTGTTAGTATTCTCATTTTGTATAGCACAAATAAACTTGGTTAACTCTCTTCAGTAAATGAATTAGGCATAAGACTGAGTGACTTTTGTCCCTAAAGCTCAGGATTCTCATGCTCTCATTTTTTGTTTCTGACCATTCTTCCCTTCCTTCAGGATAAAGTCTGAGCTTTTGACAGTCTGGAAAGCTGGAAACAAGTTCTGAGCAAGTATTTCTTTGGAAAAGCCCTGAATTATACCTTAGGTCTTCCCATTCTGCTTTCCATCCCGAGATACATCCTTTTAGCTTAGCTTTGAGCCTGGCTAAGTCAATGCTTAATGTGGTCTTCTTTTAATTCCAGTCCTACATGGAAGATCATCTGAAAAACAAGAATCGTCTGGAGAAAGAGTGGGAAGCTCTGTGTGCTTATCAGGCTGAGCCCAACGCCACCATCGTCGCACAGCAGGAGGAAAATATCCCGAAGAATCGCTCATGGGCTGTAGTACCATGTATGTACACTTCAATTTGGATTATTGCATTTCAAGTTCTTGATACTTTTCTCAATATTCTTTGCATGGGGGTTTGAAAGCTACAGATGAGACGCAAACTGAATACAGAGTAGCTTATATATATACTAAAAAACTGTGCCTGCATCTGTGGACTGGGTACAGGTCCTGTTGTCATATCAGACAGTTTATCTCTTTTTAAGTAGTATATATGTTGCAAAAATGCACAACTATGTCACATAGCACTGCTGCTGCAGCTGTACTGTCTCATGAAATTCAATAGCCAGAGTGCTTTTCAGTGCTAGAATATATTTCCTGTACAAAAGTGGCATCTGTAGCCATTCAATGGAAAGAAGTTTGGCTTGTGTTTAGACAAGTTGGTATCGTGTCCATCCAACAGTAATACCAGCTGTCTATAATCAGAGCTAGATGATCTGTTTATGAGATATCAGCTGTACTGAATGAACCTCTTTAGGCTTCAGCAGATAAACTTGCAAACTAGCTTTTCTCTACTAGGCTTAGGATAAAAGAGAAAAAGAAAAATAAAAAAATCAACCAGCATTTATATTCCTAGAATCTGCTCTTTCCTGTAAGCAACCACCTTTCTGAGCTTGAAATCTGAGCAACATATTTTTCGTATGCAAATGTATGTGTCTCATAGATTACATTGGTAATATATGGTCACACATTTTATTAAGCAACCAATGAAACAAAGCTAAAACTAAGAATATATGCACAGGCCACAGCAACAAAAATGCTCTCAGTAAGTGTGCCCACAATCCAGCTGGGTAGCTTGGCAAATATATACAGATATTTTAATTTTTAAAGTGCCCTGAAAACATTAATTTTCCCTATGAAAGTCTTGAGTAAGTACTATTCCTCTTTTAGAAATGGGGAAATGACAGGTAACATATTAAGTAAATGTCAGAGCCAGATTTAGAGTGAAGATTCTTTGCAAGTATATGGTAATTTTAACTGAGCCCATCAGCCCTTGCATATATGCTTCAGCAGGATTTGGCTCTCTTGTTTATGTAGAGGTTCTTCTTGCAGCACTTTGTTGCTTAGGAGAGGAGTACAGGAGTTTGGCAATATAACTTTTCCTGAGTAAATATGGTGCTGGTTGAAAGTCTTGGGGCAACAGCAGCAGTTTGCTGACTTCCATGTGTTTTGGGATTAGGTCTGAAAAATTCCAAAGAAACCACCATGAAAGTTAAAGGAGTGCGAGACTTCTGTGATCTTTCCCATACTGAAGAAGATAGCATTTAACCAACATGATAGGCAGTGAAAATTGCTCCATGATAATGTGTATTGATCCAAATTGATCTTCTTGCTTGAAGTGTTCTGTTCAATGTGGACTTATAGTCAGACCATTTTAAGCTGTTCCAATTCCCTGCTCGTTAGCTAAGCCAGATTGTTTCTGGTCACTGTTTGGAGACAGCACAGGAGCTCCAGGTGTTGCCAGAGATTGATGCTGATTATTCAGCTGATATAGGAAAGATGTCTGTGTGATGCAATGAGCAGTAAAATAGAGACCCTCAGACTAGACCGTTCTACCTCTGAATCCAGAAGTAACATAGCTGCAGCAGTGCTAAAGAGCAGAGATATTTAGCTTGAGTCTCGTGCTAGAGAGCTGAACTATTTTCAGAACTGAAATAGTCTGTCTCTTTTCACCATATGTAGCATGTGGATGAATCAGCCTACACTAGTAAGCCGTCAGTGGACAAGTGTTTGCCCCTTGCTTCTTCCATGGCACGTTGTTATGCCTGTTCTTTCTATTGCCAAGTCCAGACTGAATCCTTGCTACCTGGGAAGGTATTTGGACGTGGACAGGGTGGCTGCAATTTATTTGAAGCTTTAGTTAGAAGTATTTCAGCACATCTAAAATCACTTAGTACTTTTACAAGAGTAAAATGCTATTTTTTGGCTTTGTTTCAATGTGGAAACTTCTATTATAGCTATTAGAACACTTCATTTTTTTGACAAAAAAAATCTTGATCTCACTTTCTGAGATGGCTGTGCACTGGTAAACAGCTGTCACGTTGTACCCTTAAAAATACTTTTATGGTGGGTGGAAAGTGTGATATAGTTCAAACAATAGAAAATGTTTATCTGGGGAGGGACTTTTTATATTGGGGAAGGACTTCTTAAAAGGGCATGTAGTGAGAGGACATGGAGAAATGGCTTTAAAGTGGAAGTGGGTAGATTTAGGTTAGGCATTAAGAAGAAATTCTTCACTATGGAGGTGGTGAGAGTCTGGAACAGGTTGCCCAGGGAAGTGTTCAAAGGTTGGATGGGGCTTTTGAGCAACCTGGTCTAGTGGGATGTGTCCCTGCCCATGCAGGGGAGTTGGAAATTGATGATCTTTAAGGTCCCTTCAGACCCAAACCATTCTATGATTCTATCATTCTATGATACGGTGCTCATTATTGTAGACTTTAAATTAGACTGAGATGAGAAAGATTCCAGTTTGCCCACGTTTTTTGGTTTTTTTTATAACCACATTTGACATAAAAGCTATAGTAAAAAGTCACAGATTTGCTCCATAATAAGACGCAAAGCTTCTCCTAAGGCAAGGAGAGAAGGAAGAAGTTCTTGAACAAGTGATGGATCCCCTCCCCTCCTATCATCAGACAGAAGGAGGGAACCCACGGGACAGGGAGGAATAGGGGGAGGTCCCTCCATGGAGAGGCAAGGGAAAACCCTCACAGCACCCCTGCACTCTTCCAGTTGTCCTTGAAAAAGAGGTATAAGGCTTTGGAACTTCAGGGCCAGGCAAATGAAGATGGAGAAGTAGATCCATCTAGAGAATCACCTAAGGCTTGTCACTCACCCCCACACCTTAGGACTTCTTCAACTAAGAAGAAAAGGAAAGTCATTGTGATGGGTGACTCCCTTCTGAGGGGAACAGAAGGGCCCATTTGTCAACCAGACCCATCCCACAGGGAAGTCTGCTGCCTCCCTGGGGCTTGGATTAGAGATGTTAAAAGGAAACTCTCTGATCTGGTGCAGCCCTCTGACTACTATCCACGGCTGGTTTTTCAGGCTGGCAGTGATGAAATTGTGACAAGAAGTCCAAGGGCAATTAAGAGAGACTTCATGGCCCAGGGAGGGCTGATAACGGGGGTCTGGAGACCAAGTAGTGTTTGCTTCTGTACCTGTTGCAAGAAAGGATGAAGAGATGAACAGGAGGAATTTGCAGATCAATGCAGGGCTATGTGACTGGTGCCATAGGCAGGGCTTTGGGTTTTTCAATCGTGGGCTGCTATACAAGACACCTGGCCTGCTGGTGGCAGGTGGGATGCACCTGTCCCAGAGGGGCAAAAGGCTTTTGGGGCAGGAGTTAGCAGGGCTCAGTGGCAAGGCTTTAAACTGGGTATGAAGCGGGAAGGGGAGATAACTGGGCCTGTTAGGGACAAGCCCAAGACAAACATGCCAGGGCTTGAAGAATGGTGGACTAGGGAGGATTCTCACTCTGTTGTTTCATTTGGGAGAAAAGATAGATGTTTAGAATTAATGGAAGCACCTGAGAAGGATCAGGTAGGAAATGGAGCCCATAGCAGAAAAAAGGAGTTGCAATCATTAGCTCATCTGAAGTGCATCTATACCAATGAGCTAGAGCAACAATCAGGGAGCTTGAAGCCATGATACACCAGGAAAACTATGACACAGTGGCTATCACAGAAACATGGTAGGATGCATCACATGTCTGGAGTGTCACAGTCGATGGCTACAAGCTCTTCAGGAGGGATAGAAAGGGAAGGAGAGGGGGTGAAGTGGCCCTGTGTGTTAGAGAATGCTGTGAGAGCTTGGAAATCAAGTATAGTCATGATAAGGTTGAGAGTGTTTGGATTAGGTTAAAGGTCTATAAAGCTGATGTCACTGTGGGAGTTTGCTACAGACCTCCCAGCCAAAGCAGTGAGATGGGTGAAGCTTTCTATAAGCAGTTGGGAGAAATCTCCCAGTCACTTAACCTCCCAGACATCTGCTGGGAACACAACACAGGAGAGAGGGAACATTCCAAGAGGTTCCTGGAATGTGTGGAAGATAAATTCCTCACACAGCTGGTAAGTGAGCCAACCAGGAAGGGTGCCCTCCTGGACCTGCTTCTGGTGAATAGAGAAGATCTTGGGGGGGAAGTAAAAGTTGGAGGCTGTCTAGGGCATGAGATGATTCAGTTTTTGATCCTTGGAGAAACAAGGAGAGGGTTCAGTAAAACTGCCACCTTAGACTTCCAGAGGGCAAAATTTGACCTGCTCAGAAGACTGATTGACAAAGTCCCTTGGAAGGCTGCCTTGAAGGATAAGGAGTCCAGGAAGGCTGGACATACTTCAAGAAAGAAGTTTTGAAGGCACAGAAGCAGGCTGTCCTTGTGTGCTGAAAAACCAGTAAGCAGGGTATGAGACCAGCCTGGCTAAATAGGGACCTTTGGCTGGAGCTTAGGAACAAAAGGAGAGTCTATGACCTTTGGAAGAGGGGACATGCCACTCATGAAGCCTATAAAGATGAAGTGAACTTATGCAGGGTGAAAATTAGGAGAGCCAAAGCACAACTAGTGCTCAAACTACCTACAGCTGTTAGGGATAATAAAAAATGTTTCTATAAGTTCATTAACAGCAAAAGGATTAGGGAAAATCTCTATCCTTTATTGGATGCAAAGGGAATCTTAGTAACAAAGGATGAGGAAAAGGCTGAGGTGCTCAACACCTACTTTGCCTCAGTCTTTAACAGTGGAACTAGCTGTTCCATGGATATACAGCCACATGAGCTAGGAGACAGGGAGGAGATGTAGGACGAGGTCATCACAATTAAAGAGGAAGAGGTCAGAGATCTTCTACACCACTTAGATGCACACGTCTATGGGACCGGATGGGTTACTTCCAAGGATGCTGAAAGAGTTGGCAGATGTGATCACCAGGCCACTTTCCATTATTTACCTGAAGTCCTGGCTAACTGGGGAGGTCCCAATGGACTGGAGGGTAGAAAATGTAACACCCATCTATAAG